GGATATAGGCCGTCCCCTTCGGGTTTCGAGGGGTATATCCCCAACTGGGGGGGTAACTTGGCGGGGTTCTCGAGGGGGATGGGTATGGGGATGGGGGTCGGTTCAAACGACACTGATTGGGAACCCCGTGCTACTTAGGTTGCCCTCTTCTCCCGGGTCGTCTAACTTCGCGCACCGTGCCCTGCCGCGCGCGACTCACGGTGTTATCTTCGCGCCCTCGCGCCGCCGCCCCGGAGAAGGGCGCCGTCAAGGCCCAGGCTGCGACGCGCAAAGCACGATCATCTTCGCGCCCCCGGGGGTGACCTACGGTCAACCCGTATAGCAAGGATGCGCGATAAGGAAGGATGCAAGGGCCTTGGGCACCCACTTCGAAGCTTCCCGATCGGGGCGCGGCCAACGGAAGCGGCCGAGGATGGACCGAGGAGGCAGGGATGCAAGGGCACCCTTGGGAAGGTTGCCCATCCTTACTATGCGGGTTGACTGTAGTTAACCCCTCTGGAGCCCGACACTATTTACGATGCCTTCTTCTTCTGACCACCTGCCAAACCACCCCAAGCAAACCCCCTAGAGTCACCGTTGGGATCGTCACTTCCCGGAGGGGCACTCCAGAACACTGTGGAGACTCGATGGGGCCCGCACAAGCCCCCAACCCCGAAATTGGGAGGGTCTTGGACCTTCAGGTTGGGTTCAGGTGGTTTGGTAAAGAGTGATCTTCATCCACGAAGCCTCCCAGAGTCTGTTCGCGGTCGTCACGCTTCGCCAAATGATCGTCCGAGCGTCAATCTGGCTGGCCACTTTGGGCGGCGGCATCTGCCCTCCCCCCGCCCGCCCGCAACTGGCGTTACAAAAACCTCGTGCCCTCCTCCAGGCTCCCCTGACAATTTCCCCTCCTCACCCTCATCCTCCTCCTCCATCCCTTTCCTTACAAGTAACTCCTCCCTGTCGCACCCCCAAACGTGTCGCCAGTGTGGGCCAGGAGTTTCGCCTGAGACGTCCTCGCCATGTATGATCCTGAATCGTGGTATTTGCACCAGCTTCATGAATGGAGGGCGTGCCGTCTTCCAAATGTGGCTCTCGCCTTGGCGCCCCGCACATCCGTCTGAACCGCCTCCAACAGTCTCACAGATGGAGGGCGGGTCGTTTTCAGAATGTGGCTCCCGCCTGAGCGCCGTACACATTAGCCTTAAAAGATGTTCCACAGCTTCACAGTTGAGGGCGGATCGTGTTCAACATGTTGTTCTCGCCTTAGCGCCGCTCACATGCGTCTTAAACATCCCGCAAGTCCTTGGGGCTGAGGTGGTCTAGCGATGTGTTATAAGTAATCAAAATACCCTCTTCCCTTCGGGGAGGTCTACCTCCCACCCTCCCTGGGTCGGGATAGGGGGGGGGGCGGGGGCTAAGAGGTAGAGCGCCCAAAACGGCCCAAAATGGCCCCAAGAGGGCACAAGATGGCCCAGGATGACCTCCAAGATGGCTCCAAGATAGTCGACGATGGTTCAAGATAACTCCGGACATACTTCCCAGAGGCTAGACGAGGGCCACAAGACGATTCGAAGTGCTCGCAAGAGCCCCGCCCCCCCCCCGCACGGCCCCTGGAGCGCCCAAGAGCGGCCGACGAGCGCCTCAAAGGACGAGTTTGAGAGCCCCAGGGGAGGGGACGGAAACTGCTCCCCCCCTCCTTTGACCGATGGCCTCCAAGATGGCCCCAAGAGGCCCTACAGGGCTCCCAAGGGACCCCCGCGAGGGCTCCATGAGGGCCCCAAGAGGGCTCCAAGACCCTCCAAAGGAGGCTCGTCTTTGGCCTCTATCGTCTTACTCGTTATGTTCCTCCTCTTCCTCGTCGTAGTCGTCATCATCGTCGTCCTCTTCCTCCTCCTCCTCCTCCTTCTCCTCCTCCTTCTCCTCCTCCTCCTCCTCCTTCCCTCGCCCCCACGCGGGTACGAAGGAGTCCTCCAACCTGCTTGCTCCCAGATTTCTCTGTTCGCCCTGGTTGCCTTCTTTGTGTCACTACATGTCTCTTTGTCACATTTCCTGTCAGCTATCATGAACAGGGTTTCAAATTCGGCTGGCGGGGAGACGCGATACGTGAAGGATTCTGCAACAGTTTCACTGATGGAGGGCTTCAAAATGTCTTTCTCGCATTAGCACCACGCATGTTCGTTTTACACTCCCAACATGTCATATGTTCGTAAGGTCGAAGGTCTTAGAAATTGTGCTCTGGCACGACTTAGGATAGTCAAGACCGAATAGTCACGTTGATCCGCGGCGATGAAGTCCCCAGAATGACATTCAGGCACGATTTCGCACTGTCAGAACGGAGCAGTCACGTTGATCCTCGGACCTGAAGTCCCAGAAATTGCGATTGTGGCCCGTTGCAGATTTTCGAACGGTCGTCTTCTGATGGGCCACGTCCCGCAATGAAAATACATGGTTTAAGTACATTTGTAAAGGGAACTTGAAAAGAGGGTATGCTGCAACAACGTTGGTGCGTCTTAGGTTAACACTGCTCCTCACCCTCCTCCTCCTCCTCCACTGCCCCCTAGGTCGCCAAACTTGGCGCATCGCGCCACGCGATGCGCGATGCGCGATTATCTTCTTGGCCTCGCACCGCCGCCCTGGAGAATGGCACCTCTCCATCCCAGGCCGCGACGCGCGAAGCGCGACTATCTTCAAGCCCCTGGAGGTGAGCCAGAGAATGACGTCATCAGCAGGAAGACAGGAGTTTCCTAGTAGGACCAAGAGGCCACATGGGCATGTCTGTCCGGACGGACGCGGGTGGTTTCAGGCTAGTCGGTAATCTTAGACGCCTGCCTCGAATGGTCCTTCTTTGGGTGACCCAAAAGGGGGTCCAACTGAAAGGGGGTGGTGCAATAGATTTGGGGAATTGGATTGCAGTTGTATTGCGCCAGAGAATTATATTGCATTGCATTGCAGGTAATGCATTGCACGCGAAAGTCCAGCAATACATTTGCGCCCTGGAACGCACTGCACGCCCCAAATGTATTGCAACCCCACAAATCTGTTGCACCAAATCTGTTGCACACAACCCTCTTGTCGCTGGACCCCCTTTTGGGTCAACCCGACCTTCGCCCAAGGACCTGGGTCCTGAATTCGCGCACCCCGCCCCGCGACACGAGGACAGCGGCCATCCTCGCGCCCTCGAGGCCTTGCGCCCTCGCGCCGTCCCTCTGGGCAGGGAAGGCAACCGCCTCGACCCCGACCACGACGCGCGAGGCGCGATTGTCTTCGCACCCCCCGCGGGTGACCCAGAGGGCACTCTGCTCTGCGAAGGCTCGCTTCCTGTGGGGACTCTCCTGTCAGTCGTTCGGGTACGCAGATCAACTGGGCATTTCGCAATATGCCATCCTTTGGCTGGGTCGGGCCTGTCCCCCTACAGGAGGACGTTGGACGAAACAATCAAAATACTCAAAAAACACACCAAAAATGTTCAAACATAGTAGAGAAATCGTCCCCATGTGGCACCCTCGGAGAACACATGGGTACCGAGGGGGAGATTCGAAAAAAGGGAGGGGGTAAGCCCGGGGACCTGGAGGCCGGACATATGTGTGTAAATATATATTATGTATGTAGATGTGCGTGTGTGTACACACCTATATCTATACCATAACCACGTACACGTTCGCGCTTTGCGCGCGCTTAGGTTCCCCGTGCTCCTGCTCCTGCTCCTGCTCCTGCTCTCCCTCCTCATTCCCTCCACCTCGTTATTCCATTGTCACTCCTCTTCGTCCTCCTCGTCCTCCTGCTGTTCGTCCTCCTTCTCCGCCTTTCCTTCTGTCCCATGTCCTGCTCCTCCTCCTCCTCCTCCTCCTCCCCTCCGTTTGCAGCTACTCCCCCTCCTCCCTCCTCATCCTCCTCCTCCTTCTTCTCCTCCGCCCGTATGTTCCCAGGGGTCTTCGTGGCCCAAAGGAAGCTCCACCTACGGCCCCAGAGAGAAGGTTCGCATGGCGCCCTCGCTCCCGCCCATGTCGGTACACCCCTCACACGGATCGCGCCCTACAGGGAGCTCCACCGACGGCTCCAACAGAAGGGGTCCCATGGCGTCCCTCCGCACATCTCGGCACACCCCTGATGAGGCTCTCCATCCATGGCACCCATGGGCAATGTCGCATGGCGTCCCCACGCCCATTTCGGCGCCGCTTCACGCGGATCGCGCTCCACAAGGAGCTCCACGGCCTCAGTGAGCGCGCTCGGGCGGCGGCCACCCCCTTCACGCGGATCGCGCCCCGCAAGGGGCTCGGCGTGCCTACGCGCGCTTGCTCCGCAGCGACCCTTTATCCAGTCTACCCCGCATCGCGCAGTATGTGAAGAGAGAGCCGCGCCCTGCGTTACACGCAGCTGCATAGGGGCAGGCCCTTCGCCAGGCCAGGTGATGTATCTGTTTTCTTGTACGCAGACAAACACGAGCACAGACATACAATCGTGCATGCATATATACATGCGTGCGTACACACACACACACACACACACACACACACACACACACACACACACACGCACACGCACACGCACACGCACACGCACACGCACACGCACACGCACACGCACACGCACACGCGCACACACCTGTGCCGATCAGGCGGCGCCCTAGAAACGGGCCCAGGTTGTGGGCCAGAGGCCTCTCACAGATGTATACTGAGGTTTCTCAGGAAGTATCTCAGAGGCCCGTCAGGGGCCTCTTGGGGGTTTCCTGAGGGCTTGCTGGGAGCATTCTGCCTCTTGGAGGCCTCTTGAGAGCCCCCTTGGGGCCCCTCGGGGCACCTTGGGAGCCTCCTGGGGCCTCCTGGGGGCCTCCTGGGGCCAAGGCTCGAAATTTGAACGTGGTTCTCCCGCTCTGGGACCCCTCTTGGGCCTTTCCTGGGGCATTTGGGCCATATTGGGGCCTCCTGGGCCGTCTTGGGCCCTTCTTGGGCCGTCCTGGGGCTCTTAGTTGCCTCCTGGAGCTCTCGTGGGGCGCTTTGGGGGGCCTTGTGGACTAGTCGCAGGCTATACTGTGTGTTTTGCTTGTTTCTTCTACTCCCGGGTAAAGGCAACCATTCAGTTCTATGTTTAGCGCGCAGCTTATGAAGCTGTCGGTAGTGCGCACGGCGCCCAACAGCGAGCCAAATCGCGCGCAAAGCAGACATAATGCATCTGCCTGGCATGACGCCATTAGGCTCTTGTGGTGCTATTGGTCGATCTCTGATCGGTACTGGCGCGAACAAAGCCGTGGTACTTGTATCACGCTGCAAGAAAAGAAGTGATATCAACTTGTGTGACGTCACGTCGAGGGAACCATCGGCCTCCAATCCCGATGCCCACGACAAAGGACACAAGGCATACACCGAGCAACACGATAATCTGTGCCGGGGAGAACTCCGTGTCTTTTTCGCGCACCTCTGCAAGAGCCGTCCCGCCAAAGTCAATCAATGCATCTTTCGGAAAGACGCCTGGGCAAGTGGCCGATAGGAAGAGGAAAAAAGCCGTGAAGAAGTTGTGGAGCCAAAAATGCCAGAAGTTGTAGCTGGGGTCCTTGAGGGCTGAAATCTGCTCTTCCGCTGTGTCCTTCGGAAATCCAAGCTCCATAGTCTTTGTGAGACCCACAAAGGCACAGTAGATGGCGATGGCGGCCCAAAGAACCCAATGCGGTGCTGCGCTTATGGCGAACAGAGTGTACAACCAATAGCCGAGGAGCACCACCAACACCAATGTCAATGGCGCGTTCACCTTTGCAACTGCGGGGAACTTGTCCGCATAATGGTCGATCAGACCCTGGATACCTGGATACCAAAGACCACAGCCAGGACTGCGATCGGGTGTGGACAAAATGTGACCGCACGCCCAATGATAATACCACCGATGATGTGGTAGATGTAGAAGAACCAAGCCGGAAGAACTGGGAAGCTTGCCCCGACCATGTTGTCTTTAGTTGCGAGAAGGAAGGTGCAGGTCCTGGACTGTCGACCTGATATGTATTATGGGTGTCGGTCCTGCGTCGAGCCAAAGCGGCTTGAGCCAAATGGCTTGAGACAAAATGGCTACGGAGGCTATCTTGGGTGGTCTTGGAAGACTATCGGGCTTTCTGGGACCTCCAGGGGTCGCCAGGGGAGGTCACCGAAGAGAGGGGGCACCGAAATGCAAGGGAGGAGCCGGCCCGGGGCCCTGGGCCAGGGATCTCCTTTATAAGTATACTCTGTCGCACTGTAAGAGCAACCATTCCATACTCGAGAAGAGAACCAACCCTGAACGACCAGCGTGTGCCCTGGCGCCCGAGGGCACCCACCCCAGGGGACTGCAAGAAAACGCGCACGCCATCTGTGTGACACAACACGGTCACCGTAAACCTAGCTAGGAGCAAGATCCTCATGACGTTGGCCTCTTAACTGGATGCTCCTCGAAAACACACCCGCAGCTTTGGCATGCTTCTATGCCTCTCCCGATGCTGGTGCAGTTGGTACGCCGCGGACGACGATCCCAACCAGACACGCGGTCCAGGGCGCTCTCTGGGCTCCCGTCCTGCCAAACTGAAAGAGCTGCCTGCGCAAGCAAAGTACTAGAAGCTAGCTGTGAAGCGGATGTGCACGTGGTATGAGGTCAGGGCTGATGTTGAACCACAATAGTTACGGACATCTTGAGGCCCTTGCAACTCCCAAGTAGAAGCCGGGACCGCCGTGCGAAACAGCGCCAGCGATCCAGCCCCTCCTGGAGTACCCCCATACCGCATACACATGTATACACACATATATATATATACATATACATACATACATACATACATACATACATGCATGCATGCATACATACACACATACATACATACATACATGCATACATACATATACACATACATACATCCATCCATCCATCCATTCATCCATCCATCCATCCATCCATCCATCCATCCACACACATACATTCATACATACATACATACATGCATGCATGCATGCACACATACATACATGCATACATGCATACATGCATACATATACATACATATACGTACATATGCATACACATACATACATATACATATACATGTATGCATGCGTGCATGCATACATGCATACATATATACATAGGTGCATGCATACATGCAGATATATACATACGTACATACACATACACACATACATGCACACATACATGCATACATACATACATGCACACATGCATACATGCATACATGCATACATCTACATATACATTTACATGTAATATACATATACATATACATACACATACCCATACACATACACATACACATATATACATACATACATACATGCATGCATACATACCTATATATATATACATATATATATATACATATGTATATTTTCATAGACATACAAACATACATACACATACACGCATACATAAATATGCACATATATATATATATATATTGTTGGTGCGCTGCGCGAACACCGCGCTTCCGCGCCCAACGGTGTCGCTGCCACGGCACATGCGTGGCGGAGAGTGCTGATGAGCGTATCGTTCTTTCCCTTCGAACACCGACTTGGCGAGGGGGGGGAGGAAAGGGGGGGAGGGAGGGGGGAAGCAAAGGGGGGAGAAAGGACCAAAGACAACGGGGTGAAGACGACGATCAAGTAATAAGCTGTCTCTGGGCGGCATTACGGATAGCTTGCGTGTGAAGGGGGTCCGTGGCATCGACACTTCGAAGCGGAGTGCTGGCGGCAGCGAGTTCCGGATAGCTTTCCAATATGTTGCTGTTGTCCGCCCCGCCCAATTTAGCCGGGACGGCCTACCCTCCGGCGTGTCCACTGTCTGGGTTGCAATGTGACAGGATCGAACGTAATCCCATGCGCCGGGTGGTTGGGTTCAGCCTGTACGATGGTTTGGTAGAGTAGCAGTTTGTTCCTGGCGTACGCTGCACTGAACTTGACGATAGGTCTCTGTTCTCGTCGAAGCGCGTTTTCGGCCGCTTCGTACACTTTTTCATTCGTGTTGGCTCTATCACCATATGTTGTTTGCATGTTCAGAATTTTCCTGAGTCCTTTGAGCTGAAAGGCGTCGAGTCGATTCAATGTGCCTTGAGTGAGCTGGGCTGATTCGAGGCCATACAGTAGTTTCGATTTGATGACTGCGTCTTGCCCTTGCAGTTTTGAACTTGGCAGGGCAACTGCTGTGCCTCCAGAACAAATCAATGTTCTTGAGCGTTGCCATGCACGCTCCAATTATAGCTTGTACCTCCCGCGTGCTGTCGCATTCTTCGCTCAAGCGGCACACCAGGTATTTTGCCTCGCCCATCCGTTTAACACTCGTGCCATCAACAAAATGTATGTTAGGATGTCCGTGTGCTGCGACAACCTCACATTTTCCCTTGTTTAGCTTCATTCCATATCGGGTTCCTTCGTGCTCGATTGCTGCCAGAAGCCTGTTTATTGCCCTGGTGTCCCTAGAGACAACGATCGTGTCGTCTGCGTATGAGATTTCATCGAAATTCGTTCCCTGTGCCCTGTGGCCCACTATGAGATTATCCACTGACTGGTGAACGTCATGGAACATGACAGTCATGGCTACCAAAAACAAATATGGCGATAAGGGGCAACCCTGTCGAATTCCGGACTCCTGTGAATACCAATCGGATGTCTGACCGTCGCATTCAACTTTGATTTTGGGATCTTGGTACAGTGTTTTGATGATAGTTTGCAACTTGTCCGGCACCCCCATCCTCTGCAACGCCGAAAACAAACCTTTCCGGGTAAGTTTATCAAAAGGTTTCTCCCTGTCTAGAAGTACCAGAGAGACCTGTTGGCCCGTGATTTCTGCCTCTTCAGCGGCCCTGCGCACGCAATGTATGGCTGCGGAGGTTGATCGTTTTGCTCGATATCCGAACTGGGCCCGCTGCATATGCGCCTCCAGACCAGTCGCCAACCGTTTTTGTATTAGCGACGCGCATATGTTGTAAATGGTATTCAAGAAAGATATCGGTCTGTAGTTGGCCAGATTGCTCGTGTCTCCTTTTTTTGCATATCACAATTACGCGAGCTTCCAACACATCTGGAGGGATGTGTTCAGTGTCCCACCGATCGTTGAGCAGTGCTCGTATTGGGTCAAGGGTCTGCTCTGTGAGTTCCTTGTATACCTCGGTAGGTAAGTCATCGGGTCCCGGGGCTTTACGGCGCTTCAATTTTCTCATGGTTAATGTTAGCTCCTCCTTACGTAGCGGCCTTAGGTCTACTTGGACCCGCGCTGCGACAGTTGATGCCTCGCCAAGTACTTCGTTCTCGGCTGGTTGGCGCCCCCACTGCTCCGTCGCCCAGTGTTTCGCCATTTATTCCGCCATTTGGTGCCGAGGTATAGGTGTGCCGTCCTTCTTTTTCACATGGCACGGCTGTGGTTGGTGATCCTTCTTAAGACTACCGATTCCCATCCATCTGTCGCGAAAATCTAGCTCCTCGCGCAAAGTGCTCAATACATGCTGCCTTCTGTCTTCTCTGCGGCTGCTGCGGAACATCTGTGTCAGGGCAGCGAAACATCTGAGTTTGCCTGCGGCCAACATCTTGTGCCTCTGGTCAAGAAGTTTCTCGTTCCGGCACGAGATGGTTTGGTGTTGTGCTTTGCGACGATCCCTCGGCTGTGAGGCGCAAGCTCTCTTAGCGGCTTCCCTTAGATCCGCGGTGTCCTGCATTGCCTGGTGGAAGGATTCATTGACTTGTATCCGCTCTTGCATGTTGCACTCTCTGTATTTGGCTCTGCTGGATCCACGTGACTTGTCATTGGCTTTCAGTTTGATCCTGACCGTAGCGGTAAGTGGATAGTGATCTGAAGCGATGTTCGCAAATGTGTCTGTCTCGCAGTCCAGCACAGAATTTCGCCATCGTTGCATGACTACGATGAAACCGAGCTGCTCGTGCGCTCCTCTCATGAATGGGCCTTCTAACGTCGTGCCCGGTTCCCTGTACGTTGCGAGTTTGCTGTGGTCCTTCTGGAAAAATGTGCTGGCTGCCTTTTAACCGATTTGTTTGACAGAAGGTCAAGAAGAGGTGCCGGTTGCACACTGATTCCTCAGTTCGTCCCAGCGGGTTGGTGTTCTCAGGGTCGAACGTGTGTTTGCCTATTACCGCCGCTTCCTCCTCCGAGGTCGCGCAGTGTACCCGTGGGTTCCAGTCGCCCATGATATACGTTGGGCCAACACCCCGGCGCCTGGTGAATTCTCTCTCGAGTGAATCATAGAATTCCAACTTCTCCGTTTCTGGTCTTTCCGCCGTTGGTGCGTACACAGTGATAATGTGGATGGACGGTGTGTGCGCCAACGACAATGTACATATACGATCGCTCACGGGGGTCACATCCAAAACATGTTTCACGTGCTCCTCTTGGATCATAAACCCCACTCCTGCTGCGAACCATGTTGCCTCCCCTGTTTTGGGTTCCCCTGCAAAATATCGGTGGCATTGTTTGCCTTGTTCCTTCGAGTTTGTGTTTATGTGTGTTTCTTGCAAACCAACTATCCCGACATTGTTCCTACGCATCCAAGCTTCGATTTCGTCCCGCTTCCCCGCAATTGTCATGCCTTTGGTGTTGAGTGATGCAATGCGAATGGTGTTTCCGTATTTCACCGGCTCCGCCAATTGTATGGGTGCGTTGGGTTCCTGGGCCTGGGCCCGGGTGTCATTTCCTTTCGATACCTGTTTCGCTAGCCTGTGCCCCCTGCGTGCCGCTCGACGTTTTGCCGTGCGCGCACGTATCCGTCTGTCCTGAGCGTCAACGCTACGTATTCCACTATTCGTGTTGCGAGTGGGCATAGGCGCGTGGCTGGTCGGTCTCCGCTGGGGGCGCCCCCGTGGCTGACCCGTCGCGCCTCTGACGGCGCTAGCACTGTTTGGGCTGTGCGTTTTCGCGTGTGCTTGCGCAAACAAAGAAAAGTGTGCGCCAACAGGCCACCTCTGGTGAGCCCGCCAGCAGGGGCGACCAGGCGCGCGAGCTTCTGCTCTGCCCAGTCTCCCCAACGGAAGGTGTTGGGCTTCTGCCCTGCCTTCCGGTGGGGGGTGAGATATTGTAGGCGCGCGTGCTGTGTCACTGTTGCGGCCTGCGGAGGAAGGGCGAGGGAGGAAGCTGGAAGGGCAATCGCGGGTGGACCGTTCGGCTCTCCTCTGCCGGCGGCAGAAGCTGTTGAGAAGGGCGGCCTTTACCATCAACGGCGCTTCGCTGCCGCCTGTGTCCCCCGCCTGTCCCGGCGGTCTCCAGGCGAGCAACTGCCCCCTTCCATAGCAGGGGGGAGGCGAGAGGGGGAGGGGAGGGGGCAGGAGCGGGCAGGAGAGGGGGGGGCAAGGGGAGGGGCAGGCGGGGGGGGGGAGGCGCGGGAGGGGAGGGGGAGGAAAAGGAAGGGGGGAGGCAGCAAGAAAGGATAGTTTTGGACTCTGAACGTGCAGGTACCCCTGGCGGGTTTCCTCCGCCGCCGCCGTCTTTACATGACCTCGAGACCGTCGCGCACCGCCAGCTCCGCGAAGAGAGGAAGGGGCGGGCACAGGGAGGGAGGGAGGGAGGGAGGGGGAGGGGGGCCAGGCGCGGAGCTGCGGAGCGGTCGTGCTTCGTTGTGCTCTCAGCGTGTCCTTTCTCCCCTCAGTGCCCTAGCCGTGGCGCTTGGGCGCCTTGCCGTGGGGCTTCGGTTTCTTCGCAACTGCAGTCTCTATGTCCATGATGCCGGTGCCCTTGGCCTTCTGCAGATAGGGGGGAAACAAACCTACCTCGCTTTTGACCACCCTCGCTTCCAAGAGCTACCAAGCGATGCCAAACTACGGCCTGTACTGGTTAGGCCGCTTGACGGGGAGGCGCGTGGTATGACTTGGTTTTGCCTGGAAGCGAAAGCGGGGTAGGTAATTCACGCTCTGAGCAGAATCATGTCGGCGCCCTCGCCCACGTTGCGTCTGATCTTCTTCAAGACGTCCTTGCCCATCGCGACGGTGGCGATCCGCTCCGCGAAGTCGTGCTCGCCCTCGTAGCGCATCGACCAGCCAGGCGCGGCGACCGACACCGGCCACCACGTTCGCAGGTACTCCTTCTGCGCCCCCATCTCGAGCAGCGTCGCATAGATGCCCTTCGGCGTGCTCTCGATCGCCCCCCGGAGCGGGCCGCCCGCCATGAAGGCCGACACCTTGTCCGACAAGCCCTCGGCGTTGATCTTCGCTTTGATATTGTCCATGGTCTCCTTCATCTTGTTGTAGTACTTCACCTCGAAGGTGATGAGAGGGCCAGCCGAGCACACCTTGCTCAGTAGGTCATTGGTTCCGGCGTCGCGCGAGCACGCGCGGACAACCTCGTCCACGCCCTCGTAGAACTCCTTCATGCTCGTGGCCCGGCCCTTCCACACAGCAACATTGTTGCTGAGCGGGGCATCCAGCTTCTGCACCAGTTTCTGAATGTTCGTCATGGAGGTGTGCAGCCTGCCCAGCATCACTATGTCATCCGAAGGCTCGTCCTCCTCCGTCGAGGCTCCTGCTTCCGGGGCGGCCATCCCAGCGAAGGTGCCGCCGAGCGTCAGGCGTCGGTGTTTCGCGCCCGCTGGAGGCTGAGGCTGGGCCTCCTTTGCCCCCTCCTCCTTGGCCTCCTCCGGGTGGTTGGTCGCGAAGTTCTGAATTACTGTCTTCAAGTCAATATTGTCCGTCACCGCCTGGGCCTTCAATCGCTGAAACGTTTGCACCATTTGGGGTTCCTGCCCACGGCCTCGAGGAGAGGTGCTGGGTAGTCCGCGCCGTTCTGCTCAAAGGCGAAGTCTGCCGCGTGGAAGTTGACCAAGAAATCGGCCAGACAGGACGCCATGGCAACAGGCTGGGAGAGTGAGTAACGCACCGCGTAAGCTTTAGATATACACACACGTGCGCCCTATACGCGTACAACGTTTCGAGCCACATGCGACTACATATACATATGCACATACATATACATATACATGCATACATGCATACGCGTATGCATACATGCATGCATGCATACATGCATACATACCGACAGCCAGGGAGGCATACATACATATATACATACATGTATGCAAGTATACACACATACAGACAATGCATACATACATGCATAAATGTATTACTATGTATGTATGGCGTGATAGCATGTATATATCAATACGTATATCTATATATGAGTACATGTATGTAAGTATATTATACACCTGCATTAACACATGCATGCACAAACCATGTAAAACGTTATACATGTATGCGCGCGGTTATGTGTACGTTCGTAGATGTATGGTTTATGTGTACATTAAACGGACATGTAGCAATGAACTCAAGTACCCCACACTACCCCATGGCAACTACCACGCTCTACGCAGAAAGCATAGCAACCAGTATGCAAGCATATGTGTGCGTACACATGCTGCAAAACGTCAACGCGCGTGAAAATAAACAGTGAACGCTGAAGTGTTCAGTCTAAGCATCGATTGGGAACGTGGCATAAAACATGGAACCAAAACTTCAACGAACACGTGACCGAGAAAGTATACAGTGACGCATACTTGACATCAAAATATGGACACACTAGAACGCGCGCAACCAGAAATGGCAAAGAAACAGCAGCACATAAAGAAGAGGTAAGGCGCAGTAGTTGGCGCGACTAAGCGCCAGCAGCAGGCACTAGTGGGCGCAAGAGGCGTCAGTAGGCGTCAGTAGGCGCCAGCGGGCACTGGCACGAGCAAGTTGGCGGCTAGCATGCACCAGTTAGCGCATGTAGACATTAGCAAACCAAGCGCACGTGGGCGCCAATAGGCGCTTGTAGACGCTATCAGGCGCCAAACGTGCGCCGATGACCCTTTGAAAACGCTGGTGCCAGCGCCTACTCGCGGGCCCCTCGTGCTGGAGTGACTCGCTCAGGGCACCAAACAAAATGATAATCCCACCAGCCGTCTGGACGTAGGTGGTTTATCACTGTTCCCCATTGATATACACCCCCTCCCCCACCCGGCCGGCGGCCAACCTGGAACCATGCCGACTCCATGCGGGCCCGCGCCCCACCATCTCTATCAAAAACAATACAAACCGCACTCGACCTCCACATTTGGAGCATGCGCGGCCAACCCGATGCGACCCCCCCCCACCATCCCTGTCAAAAAATAATGCAAAGTACACTTTGGGGCAAAGTCTTGAGTCATGTTCGTGAGGCCCACGAGCACTTTGTATTGTTTTTGACAGGGACGCCCGTCAGCATATTCCCTGCTGTGCGCAGGGCTACCATCCCTGACCAAAAAATTATACAACATGTGCCTCGCGGCTAAATCTGGATCATGCGCGGCCATCCCACGATCACTGTCCAGTGGTTTTTACAGGGACGTCGGGGGTGGTGTCGCGTGGCCTGCTGTGCGCAGGCCCGCCAGACACAATAATGGGCATTGGTTCTCGACCAGAATGGCTCGTGTTTCCCGATGTGTGCTGTCACGTGCGCAGGCGCGCCTGACGCAATCTGCACGTGCCCCTAACGTGGCGCACCTGGCGCGGCTGGAGTGTGCGGCACACCTGGCGCACTCGGAGCACGTGGCGCATCTGGCGCACCAGGCGTGCCTGGCACGCTCGGGCCCCAGGGGTGCCTGGCGCGCGTGGCGCCCCTGGCACGCGTGGCGCACCTCGCCCAAGCGTCGCGCACCTGGGGTCGGCTTGGTTCCCGGTAGCTGCCCATCCAAAGACGACCGCTGCACATGCTCAGGCTCGGGTGTTCTTTATGTGTCGGGAGGGCGGGTGGAAGTGAGCTAGACGGCTTGCGGGCGGGTGGGTGGCTTGACCCCTCCCCCCACCCCCTCCCCTGGGCCTGGAAGGGGCGCCCGGGGAGGGGTTAGGGCGTCCAATATGGCCCCAGATGGCCCCAAGAGGGCCTCTGAGAGCGCGAGATGACCTCCAAGATGGCTCGAGATACCTCGAGATGGTTCAAGATAGCCTCCGACTCCTAGGGGGACTCAAAGTGCCCTCCGATCCCTCCAAGGATCCCCCCAAGAGGCCTAATTTGCTCCAAAACCTAGGGATAATCAGTGTGTTCGCCTTCTCGCCTTTGCGCTTCCGATGGGCTCTTGAGGCCTCAAGATGGCCCCAAGACGGCCCAAGAGAGCCCCCAAGAGGGGCTCCAGAAAGCCCCAAGACAGCCCCAAGAGCTCCCAGGAGCGCACCAAGAGCGCCCGAAGAGGGCCTCAAGACGCAATGTGTTAGCCTCCCAGGGGGAACCTGACTTTCCTACCCCCATCGTTTAGAGTCATGGGGGCAAAGATGGCTCCAAGAGGACTCCCAGAACCCCCATCGAGCCCCAAGAGGACCCCAAGAAGGCCCCAAGAGAGCCCCAAGAGGGCCTCAAGAGTGCCCCAAGAGGCTCCGCGAGGACCCCAAGAGAGCTCCAAGACGGCTCCAAGAGACCTCCGGTGAAACGCTTCCAAGAGGGTTGTTACGCAGCACTCTTCTACACTTCCCTGATCAAGGCAACTCGCCTGGCGATCTTCTTGTGGATTGGCTGGTGGGGATTTGTTTTGGTCGCTGCCGCGGGCGAAAGCGAACACGGCGTGTCGTAAGTCCGGGGCGCGGGCCTACTAAGTGACAACAGCGAACTTAAGCCGACAACCTAAAGCTGGTGGGGATATGCGAAGCGTCAAGAATTCGGATAATATAATGTAACTGGCGTCCGGATCCCCGAGTCTTGGGGAAACACACGTGTCCCAGCCCCCCCCGTAGTCTATGTGCGCCCTCGTAGTTTCAAAAATGGTTCAGGAGGGCGCCCACATGAACGACAGAAAGAAACTGCTCTTACACATTCCGAAGTTGCGACCTTCCGCCGCGGCTTACGCGGGAGGCCAGCGTGGCAAACTGCGGAGAAGAAACGCGCGGGTGCCGGCGCAATCGACATTGTTGTTTCCGTCGCTCGCGTGCCGCCCAGACAGCCCATGATGACTCAAAACGCGCCAAGATGGTTACAGGACGGACCCGATTGGCCACAAGATGCTTCAAGAGAAGCTCCCAGATACCTTAGAAAGGCCGCGGGCACCACAAATCAGTCAAATACAAAACGGTTATCACAGATTGTTGGTCCTCCTGCTGTGCTTACGCAGATGACGTTTGGGTCCGCCTCAGAGGACCACAAGACAGCCCCACAAAGCCCGACGAAAACCCGAAGGCGGGCCCATAACGCCGCGGTCAGACCCCAAGACAGCCCAAGAGATCATCCAGAGAAAATCAAGGGAGCCCCAAGATGGCCCAAGAGAGGGCCTGAAGGTCCAAGAGGACCACAGAAGAGCCCCAAGACGCACCAAGAAGGCCCAAGAGGTTCCCTCTTCATCTCCAAAACCCGCCCACGATGCTGCGGGTCCGCAGGCTTAACCGTGTCTTAACTCCGACATATGATGAAACAATGCGTCGAAACAACGCCCTTGCCAGCGCTAGTACTAAGCGCGCGAAACGCCGGCGTGGTCTGCTCCTGTTATTTTTCTGAACTCTAAGTTGCGCATGCTGTGGTCCAATCTACGTCGCCCATGGACTTACAAACATCTGCTCGAAACAATAACGCAGGTGATTGCACAGCATAGGTTAGACTGAAGCTGCACATCAAAAGAACACCTGGTGAGGGTTATGCCAGATTCATAAGGAAAGGTAGTTGTATGATCGGCATTCGATGTCCACAACGAGACCAGGTCGAAAACCGACCGAACCGATCGCGAAACCGAGACGGACCGAAACAGACGGACAAAATGCAGTGCAGAGGGACGCAGCGGCGCTGCAGCCGACCGAGCCGAACCGACCAAATGCGGCCCACTGTAAAGCAGCCGAACGGACCAGGCCAGATCAGATCGAGCCGAACCGAGCCGATCCTCAGAACATGTGCTAGTGCAAATGTGCGCTTGTCCACCGAAGCTCTTCAAGGCGACGCGGGCAGCGGCACGAGGGCCGACATAGGCTGTGTGCAGCTCGCCAGGGAAAGAACACCACACATACACACACACACACACTAGCAATGACCTGGAATGACCAATGGGCGATTGGAAGCGGATGCTTCTCCCCTGTCGGCGCCGATGACTGGGCCTGGTTTTCGGCCAAAAATCGGGTCTCCGGCGACCGGTCGAGAAATTCTAGACATCCCCACAACGCCCTCGGAGAGGCGCAGCTGCTGGAAAGCATCCCGAGGCTGGAGCCTTGGGGGATTCCGAAGATGGAAGGGCCACTGTCATGCGGTAGTCCCCTCCTACTGGCGCCCCAGGATATCGATCTCTATTGTTTCGCAATAGCGACTGTTACCAGCCCCGGCCGCTCCCACCCCCAGCAGGTAGCATCACGCTCCGTGCTGACGTCCGAGTTGTCTATGGCTGTTCCTGAGCGCTCCCAGACAGCGCCCGCGCGAAAGGTGACGTTACCGACCACCCCCGCAACGCCCGTCACAGCCGGCCCTGATTAGGAGGTCGACCCTGCCAAATCAAGGGCACCTTTGTGTCTTGTCTCGTGACCCATGCCTCCTACATTCCTGTGGCAATGTGGCCCAAGGAAGGGCAGTGTGTCCTCTCGCGTGTCCTCTTCCATCAAGCCCGACTGTATACCCTGACGGCGGCGGCCTCCAGCTCCTTCGGCAGGGCGTTCTCGCCCTCCCGCAGGCAATTCGTCGGGGGCTGGGCGTCCCCCGGCTGCCCTGGGCCGCCTGGAGCGCGGGCTGGGGGCCCAGCCGCCCTTGGGCGCGAAATTCTAGAGGGCGATAAAGGAAGTGGGGAAAGAAGGGTATCCCTCCCAGGCCCCGAAGGGGCCCCCTTGGGGGCCCGGAAGGGGCCCACCGA